CTATTCTTTCCTTCCCCCTGCTTACTGTGAGTCAGCACCCACATATCAGAGAGAACATTTGGCCTTTGGTTTTTCTTGGGATTGGTTTATTTCACTTAGCATGATAGTCTCCAGTTCCATCCATTTACCAGCAAAAGCCATAATTAAATGCATTTTCAACTTACAATAGGTTTATTGGGATACAATATCACTGTAAGGAGCCTCTGTATATGCACACCCATGTACATATCTATCTGTCTACCTCGTCCACTCCAGTACCTACAATGGCAACACAACTCTGCACGATTTAGCCTATTTCCCCTCTTTTTCGTATTTGACAGTGAAAAACTTGGCTGTAATTATCCATTTTCTAATTTGTTCCATCCTAGAATATACAGAAAGCATTTTCAGAATTGCTATCCCATGTATCTATGAAACAGAAATCTACTCAATATTTATTTATAGTTCTTTTTCACTTTAGCCTGAGGGTCTCTAGTCTAAATATAATACAAAAAAGTTACTTGGACTAATTCCTTTTTTGTCCCTTCTGTCCATAAACTTTTAACTGTCCCTTCTCTGTGTCACACCTGTTTTTTCAAGTCTGGAGCTTATTGGGGTCTCTGGGCTGGTGAGTTCCCCTCTCAGCTAACCCTTTCTGTGTCTAGGCAAGTCTGCCTCCTCCCTGCTCATTTGCTCACTAGGCACCACCTCCATTCTCTACCAGTTTCCAGAGATGCTCACTCATTCCCCTGCCTCCCGTTCTCTTTGTGGCTAAAGATTTCTTTCTTTTTTAAGGCGCCCTTGGCTCTCAATTTAGTGGGATCACAAGAGGGAGAGGGAGACGCCTTCCTTGTAGGAGGGAAAAAGAGACTGAGAACCTAGGTTCCCAGTCTGCTGCCTCAAACTTGACCCCTGGGGCCTCAGGAGACAGAAAGATCTGGTTTATAAAGTGTGGGGTATTGGCAAGCTCCTTGACCTGTCCAAATCCCAGTTTCCCCATCTAGGATATGGAGGTGAGGAGCCCCACATCATGTGGCCCTGACAAGGACAATGTCAGAGGAAAGGTGTGAAGTGGTGGGCACGATGCCTGTCACCGCATTCAGTGCCTGTCATTGTTGCCTGCATGCCACTCTTGCTGATCGGCCTCTCATGTGTCCACGTCCTAGCTCAGGCTCACCAAGAGTTGAGCACGTCACAGAGTCCCTTCATTTAAAGAGCAGGGAATTCAGAGCTCCCAGAGAGACCATCCCAGCAGCCAGAGCTGGCAGTGCTCTAGCAAGGGCTGTGTCCCCTCTCCAGCCTCTCTCAGTCCCAGGATGTGCTTTTTGCCTGGAACTTTAAAACTTCTTGCCTGGCCCTGGTTCAGCGGCCTCTCTGAGAGCACCCCCTAGCTGTGTGCCAGTGGGTGTCTCTGCTGGCCGGTGGCTTTTAAGTCCAGGACACATGATTGTTCCTGATGAGATGAGTGATGAGCTGAAAATGTTGGTAGAGAGAGGCCAAATCCCTGTGTGGCTCCAGGAACAGGGATAAATATAGCAGAATAATTGCTCATGCTCTTTTAAGGATTAAAAGTCAGCTTTCGGGCAAGCTGTGAAGCTCCGTGACCGGGACAGCAAGGGACACAGTTCCTTTTTTAGAGCCATGGTCAACACTCCCCGTGTATCCCTGGATCCCAGGCCTCTGTGCTGCTACTCTCACTTGACTAACGGGATGGCACTCCCTGGTCCACACATCATGGGGGCCGGCAGGGGTCGAGGTGTTCCTGCTGCACCCCACTAGCCAGCACTACGCCCGGCTCATCCAGGTGCTCGGCGAACATTTCCACATGAATGAATGAGAGCTGCGAGAAGCCTATGTTTTAAAAATAACCTTTAGTATAAGATTTATAGTCTCGTTGAGAGTAATGTCCCATGCCAATTTCCTGGTTTCGAAATATATCGTATAATAGCAATATAAGATGTCATCAGTGAGGGAAGCCGGGTGAAGGGTACATGGGACTATGTACTATTTTTGTAACTTCCTGTGTGCCTGTAATTATTCCAAAATAAAAGGTTTTAAAAAACCCACCAGGAACCTTTAGTTAGAATCATCCAACACTCTTGACACTTGGAGGAGGCAAGTGCCAGAGATGGATGGATTAAATTCCTACATCCCTGCTTACAGCAATGCTTTTGTTTTATTTTTTAATTTTAATTTATTTTTATTTTTGGGTGCTGGGGATTGAACTCAGGGGCACTCAACCACTGAGTCACATGCCAAGCCCTATTTTGTATTTTATTAGAGACAGGTCTCACTGAGTTGCTTAATGCCTTGATAAATTGCTGAGGCTGGCTTTGAACCCGTGATTCTTCTGCCTTTCACCTCCCGAGCCTCTGGAATTAACAGGTGTGTGCCACCGCACCTGGCTTTTTGTTTTATTTTTACTGTTATTATTGAATGTAAACATGTGATTTATTCATATGGTCCAAGACGTTAAATGATAAATAAACTATACAGTGTATTCAGTGGAGAGTCTACCTCAGCCCCTTAGTTCCTCTCCCCATGAGCAACCATTGTTAATGTGATTCATTTTTGCACTAATTTTAATGATATTCTATGCACACATACAAATTACACATTTGTGTGCACACAAATATGTAAATATGAGCCCACACACTTTTTTTTTTACTTAAATGGTAGCATTAGATAAACCTCATTCTTCAATTTTTCCCATGTAGCAATATATCTCAATGGCTTGTCATATCAATATACCAAGAGCTTCCTTGTCTTTTGTTGTGGCTACACCCCATCTTCTTTTATGACCCCCAATTAGTGAACATTTATGTCATTTCTAAGCCTTTGGCTTTTATAAACAATGCGCAATGAATAATCATGTTCATCTGTCATTTTCCAAGTGTGGGAGTGTGTTTGTAGAATAAATTCCTAGAAGTAGAATTGGGTCAAAGGGTATATAAGCTTTACAATCTTGATAGTGCTAAATTGTCCTCTATAGAGTTCATTCCATTTTATACACCCATAAGTCATGTGTTTTATAAAATGTGTGTTTAATGCAGTAATTTTAAAAAAATTACTTGGTGACCTCTTTGTGAGTCTGATAAAAGTTATTGGCCTCTACTCAAGAAAAACACAATCATGTAATGTTTTGCATACAATTTCAGTTGGCTCAGAGACCCATGAAGGCCACTGATGGACCTCAGGTTTAAAAAATGTGACAGAAGGGGCAGCAGTATGATAAAGAGGAAAGAGTTTTAGGACTAAACCATCTAAATTCACATATCTATCCTAATACTCAAGGCTGCAGAAAATTAGCCAAGTCATTCTACTTTGACCTTTGGCTTCCTTTTGAAGGGAAGATATAGTAATTCTATTTCTTAAGACACCTATGAGAGATATGCATACTTTCATGTAAAGAATCTAATATGATGCTAAGAGTTTAATATGTATATACACTCACATGCACACAAAGCCTTAAGTTCCATTTCAATCTCTGGTAGCAACTGCAGCTGGATTCACAAGATCAACCTTTGCAGCAACATTTCCCAAAGTAGGGTTCTTAGATCAACTACATGAGAATTGCTCCAGGGCCATAATTCAAAGGCAGATTCCAGGCTCCTGCTTTAGATCCATGGAATCAGAATTTTTGGAAGAGAAGTCTAAGGACCTTAACACTGGGGATTCTAATGCCACTGAGGTTGGTAAAGCATGCTAAAAAGTTTGGCAAGTCCCTTATAGTCCCTACGCTTGCAGTTCCAGTAGTTCCCACCATGTGGCTCTGCCAGGCAGGAACCTGTACCAGCAGATGGACAAGGTGTGGACACCAAGAGAAAGCTTGGTTAGTACCCAAGGCAGCCACTCCTCACCCCAGTTTCAAAAATATAAAATACAGTTACTCATGAGGGTAACAGGCAGAATGACTGCACCTCTACCAGGATATCTTTCATAACACCCAGGAAGGGAGACAATCCAAGGCTACACATTGAAGAAAGCCTGGGATGGAGGCCAGGTGGGCCAGGCTCAGGGGATAATGCCTGCTGTCGCTGGGGTGACTGGCCTGTGGCCAAGAGCTGGGAATGGGGACTGTGCAGGTCCTGGCAGACTTCACCAGGAGGGCTTGAAGCTATGGGCCTCAGAGCTCCCATCACTAATTCTCTTGTTCATGACTGGTGAATGTTTTCTGGGGTGGCCAGTGAAGGCCCAGAGATAGGATTTCCAGATTTAGCAAATAAAATTATAGGATGCCCTATTAAATTTGAACTTCAGATAAATAACATACAGTCTTAATATAAGCATATCCTATACAATATTGGGACATACTTCTACTGAAATAATTATGTGTTGTTGCTGTGAGATTCAAATTTAAGTGGTTGCCAGTCTTGCAATAATCTGGCAACATGACCCAGAGCTTCTTGGTGTTTCTTTTAATCGCAGGAGGGAGTCCCCTTGGGGTCGTTCTAAACTTAGTGCTCCCTGATCTTGACCTTGAATGGGAAATGCACCTGAGGAGGGAGAAGAGTGAGTGTGGAAGGCTGGAAGGGACTTCCAGCAGAGATGCAGCCCCTCCTCACCTGTGCCCGGGTAGGTGCAGCCCATTCATGCTGATGTAGCTCTTGAACGTATCTCATTTCATGCCCCCAGGGAGCCAGTGAGTTAGGCATTTTCACTATTACTCCCACTTGAGAGATGAGGAGACTGAGGATCCACGATGTTAAGATCACAGGGCTGTTAAATGGAGGAGCAGGGACTGGCCCTTGGGGCCAATGCCAGGTCTGAATTTAGCAGAATCTCCTAGTCCCTTGGCTCTGGTAATCCCAAGGGTTTAAGGTAGGAGCAACTCCCGCTCCCAAATTCCTGGGACAGGAAACAGTCTCTCCTGGCGCTGGGCCAGGGTCTTATCCCAGCTCACATGCTTGCCAGAGAATCCAGGCTGGGAGGCGGGTCTGCAGAGTCCCCTTAGTCCCTATCTGACCAGGACAGTGTCCAGCAGCATGAGCTACCCATGGGCATTTGCCATCTGCTGTGTGGGTGCCATGGGAGGGGCCTGGGGTTAGTGGCTACCTCACAGGCCCTGCCTGCCCAGAGCCCTGAGCGGAAGGGTGGGCATCCCCTGCCTTTAGACCCCAAGAGCCAGGCTGCAGAGGAGCTCTGGCTCCAAGTCCCAGCCCCTCTCAGAGGAGGCGGGCGGCCCTCTGCAGCCAGCGGCTTCTCAGCTCGGAGCTCCAGAGCCAGATGTAACATTGACCTTAAATGGTAAAAGCTCCCCAGAGTGAAGAGAGGCTGGCCAGAGGAGGAAAGGGGAATAACTCAGTTTTAGGTAAGTCACTGCTATATCCTAGAATAACCTGCCTCTTCAGCTGAGAGGGAAGCAGAGGGAAACTTCTCCTCCTTAAAGGTACAGGGTGCTGGGAGGGGGCGCTGAACTTGGACTTTCCAGGGGAGCTGGCTTTGTTGGGTGGTATTTCAGCTGAGCGTTTTTTATTGTTGCTGTCTTAAGCCTTAAATAAGAAGTGAACCTTGCTGGTACTAACTTAGCTAAATTATGCTCCTTTGGTTAGCTGTTGGAAAATATGCACATGTTGGGGTGAGGATGTGACTTCTTACTAGAGATTCCCATTCCAAGCTTTCGTGTGGGCCCCTTTGTGGAAATAGAGGGGGGTTTTGAGGTTATGCAAGACTGCCAAGCAGGGTTTTCTCTCCTCTGTGTTTCCTGTGTCTCTCCTCTGTCCTCCTGTGCCCCTTTGTATGTGAATTCTGAACTGGCCCATTTTACCTCCATCCTTGGCCCTGTGGCATTTTTGTCCCTGACCCTCCTGTCCTTTGTTCTGGTCACTGCCCCTGCTTTTATCTCTGCCCCATCTCTCCTTTTGTCTCCAACTCTCCCTGCCTCCCGTGCCCTTTCCCTGTTCCTTAGAGAAGTACATGTGTCTGGGCCTGTGCCCTGGCCCCGCTCCCTTCCAGGGGCCCGTGTTGAAGCTGTTCCTAGAGTGAACTGCACTCAGACTGGCTTTCTGCAAAGGGAAAGCCTGGGGAAGCCAGAGGCCAGAGAGAGGCCCAGCGGCCCCATCCCTCCTGCGCATTAAACAGTTGTAAAAGCTGGAGAGGCTCTGCAGTTTGCGTAAACAGCAGCGCAGGTCCTGGACCCCTGGCTGGCGCTCCCAACTGCCAGAGCTCCAGCTGCTGTTCGCTTACACTTTTCAGGCAGCTCTCTGGAGTGGCAGGGGAAGTGAAGCAGCCCCAGGGCTTGTCTGAGCTGGGTGTTCTGCAGGGAAAAGGAGGAAGCTGCCCAGGTCTGCTAGGCTGGGGGTGCCAGGGAGGCAGAACCTGCCAAGGACAGTGTTGCCCCTATCAGGGGGTGCTGATGGGCCTGTGAGGCAGGTGGAGCTACCTACCCCTTACCCCAACTCTTTTACGGAGGAGGAAACTCAGGTTAAGTGACTTGACCAAGGTGATACTACCAAGAAAGAGCAGTTAGGACTTGAACCCTGGCCTATGTGATTCCCATCCCAGTGCTCCTGCTCCTCAGCACAACTGAGTGTCCCCAATGGTGTATTGTAATTTTTTACCTAATAGACAAAACAGTTGTCATTGTCATGTTTGTTTGGTCCACAATTCAGTGGTGTGTGTGTGTGTGTGTGGTGTGTGTATGTGCATTGGAGGTGGCTGTTTGTATTCACAGCTGAGGTCCCTTCCTCCACGGTTGGTGGTAAGTGAGGTGTTTCTATGTACTCTCTAAGATCATCTGGGAAGGACAACTCCATTCTAATTTCTACAACATGATCAATTATCCTCATAAGCATATTTTTTTTTGTGGAGAGAAGAAGCAAACATGTATGCAATGAACAACTGCTCTGAGCCCTTTCCATATACCATTCCCACAACCCTACAAGGCAGGGATTATTATCACCATCCTCATCTTATAACTCAGAGAGATCACATAGTAGGCATGTGACCCCAGACAGCCCATCTCTGGAGGCTCTGGTCTTGACCACCTCAGCCTTGTTCACCTCTACTTGGCTCCATTTCTGAGAGGACAGCGGGAGAAGCACAGACGCTCTTCCAACATACTGCATGTGAGGCTGTCACAGGTGGGGCCATGTGGCCCTTACAGCAATGCTAGCAGAGATAGATCTTTACTTCAGTTTTGCAGGTGAGGACACTGGGGCTGGAGGGGGTTAAGTGACTTTTCCAAGCTCACCCAGGCACCAAGCAGCAGAACAGATCTAAATAGTATCTTGGGTAAGTTTATTTAGGGCTGCATGACACTTTCTACTTGAAACTGAATTCCAAAGGGGTCCCAGGGCTGGTTCTGGGATGAAGGTTTCTGCAAGCATGAAACGCCTTACCTGAGCTGCCCGGATGGTTCTCTGGTTTCCAAACAGAATGCATGTCTTTCCTCTTCACCTTTGTAATGAAGATGGATCACACCCCCAGCAGAAGCATATGATAAGTGCTTGGGATCAATTATTTTTGGTTGAATAAATAGACACAATGATAATAAAATGTGTCCTGGTTAATGAAGGTCCTGGGTTTATTAAGCACATGTTCCTGATGATCAGATTCTTGTAGTCTGGTTTGAAGGGATGCAAGGTAGGGTCTCTAATTATCCACCCCATCCTGCCACCTCTGCTGCATGGCCCCACAGAGACACTGGGCTGCACCTCACCCATCCTCACTGTGGCTTCACGGTCAGCAAGATTCTGTTTGATGCCCAAGAAGGAACAGAGGCCCATGTGGATGGAGGAGAGAGAGCTTTGAGCTGTAAGACTCTGCCCCTGCACCTTCAGGAGCTATTTGAGTGAGAAGAAGGAGATGGAGAACTGAGTTCTGGTGTAGTGAATGCAAAAGGAAAGAGGGGAGAAAACTGATATTAATTGAGCTTCTACTTTGTGGCAAGATCTTTTATTTAATCCTCTGGTTAGAGTTAAGGATGCCATGGTTCAAGGAGAGGCACACAGCTGCTGGTGGTGAGCAGGGATTCCAGCTCAGGCTGCCTTGGTTGGCACTTTCTGTGTTAGATGTCACACTATAATTAGGGAATCGGGTCTCAGAGGCAATTATTGAGTGTCACAGACCAGATCATGGAAGAAGCAAGAATAGAAGGAAAGGGAATATCATGCTTGCCTTGAGAACCTTGAGTTCAGATGACAGCTCAGGGCAACCTCCTCATCTGATGAACCTTTAGACCTAGACTTAGCAGAGGTGACACCTGTTGTAACCTTGAAAGCCCCCACCTTTTCCTTCTCTGAGGGAGATAGAAATCAGGTGACAGTAAATTAGACAGACAGAAAGCCTTTTCCAGCCAGCAACAGATGTCAAAATGTTTGTTAAAGCAAGACTTAGTCAGTCTGCTATGCTGTTACATTCTTCCTAGTACTATTTTTTAAATTCTAATTTTTATTAAATTTTTTTTTCTGGTACCAGGGATTGAACCTAGGAGTGCTTAACCACAGAACCACATCTCCAGCCCTTTTTTTAAATATTTTGCTTACAGACAGGGTCTCATGAAGTTGCTGAGACTGGCTTGGAGCTCAGCCTCCAGAGCCAGTAGGATTATAGGTGTGCATCACCACATCCAGCTCACAATTTTTTTGGTCATAAAGTAACATATATTCCTTGCTAAACATTCTTGGAAAATGCAGAAATGATATAAATAAGAAACTCAGGATAAATATAAAGGGTTTAAAAACTTTCCAGAAAAATCACACCACTCAGGAAGATACTATTATTATTATGGTATGTTTCTTTCTTTAAATTTCTCTATACTTTACAAAACTCAGGTCTTATTGGCAACTTGATTTTGTAGTCTGCCTTTTAAAAACTGAACATCTAATCATAATCATTTTTCCACATCATTAAAGATTCTTCCAAGCATGAGTTTGCAATAGTTGTATAACATAGAGTAATTTTAGTTGTGTAACAGTTTGACCATTCTTCCTGTGGTTGGCATTTACAAATGTGGGTTTCCTTTGAGGACTATCTCACTGACACACACAATGTGACAGCTTCCCAATATTTGCAGCATTTGGGGACTCTGCTCTCAGAGGCGGGCTTGTGCCTCATGGCCATGATGTGGGCTTGTTCTGCAAGATGATTATAAGATGCTGGCCCAGCCTCAAACACCCAAAATCACACGGTAAGACAGTATTTTGTTTGAGTTTTCAGTCCTTCCTGTCAAGGACGAATTTTCTATTGGAGATCCAGTGACCAGCTGTTCAGTTTTTTTCTGGGAATGAGAGTTGCCCCAGACTTTCAGTGCCCAAAAAAAAAAGAAAAAAAAAAAAAAAAAAAAAATGGCCTGGGAAGACTTGGAAGTTAGTGGCCCTCCCTTGAGCCCAGTGTTAACATCCTTCTGACACTTGCTTGTCTTCCTTCTTGGCATGTAGTCTGGTAGGCAATAGCAAGAATTTAATAACTGTTTTCATTACATTTATTTTTACCATAACTCTCTATTTGTAGTAAGTGGTACTGATTTTTCCATGTAAGACAGGGACATAAAGTTTCCTTTTTTTTTTCTTGTAGGGCTGGGGATTGAATCCAAGGCCTTGCACATACATGCTAGGCAAGCAGTCTACCACCATGCTATATGCCTAGCCCAAAGTTTCCCTTTTAAATCAAGGTAGTGGTGATGTTAGCTAATATGTATTAAGTGCTTGCTGTGTGCCAGGTGCTGTTCTAAGGCTTTACCTGCAATAGGTCATTTAGCCCTCAAAGCAACCCTTGGAAGTAGTTACCAGCATTGCCCACGGTATACAGATAAGGAAACTGAGGCACAGAAAGAGGTAAGGAGCTTGCTCCACAACACAAAGCTGGTAAAAGGCAGAGCTGGGATTTCACTCTTGGCTTTCTGACTCAACACTAGTGAAATTAAAGGATATTAAATAAATAAGTATATAAGTGGAACACAGATGTGGCAAAAAATGTGAGAGCCGTGTGCAAGTTTAGGACACATGGCTTGGTGGAATTGGGGCATCAGTAAGAGGAGGGTGAGGGAAAAGCTGATTTGCCCCAGTAAAACCAAAGGAAGTTTAGAGACCCATGGGTTAGTGGGAGAGGTGGGGAGGGAGGAGGCCACATACTGCTCACAGCCCAGCTAGAAGAGCAGGATGTGGTCCCCAGAGTGGCTCTGCTGGGAAGGGACACAGAAGCTATAGAGAGTTCTGCTGCTGACAGGAGGATGTTTCCAGAGAACCCCAGGCCCCTGGTTCCTCAGGAGAAAGCCTGAAGACGCCCTTGGCTTTGCTCACACAGGTGTGGCCAAATATACACTGGAGCTGAGTGGGAAGATGGGCTTAGTGTCCAACAGCTCCTCCCTCG